CCTTCAAAACTGGTCAATTTCACGTCTGATCAGGTACAAAGGTGACATGCGGACAAAGACAATCACTTTTAGGGTTATTATTGTGAGCTCGGTTCTTCGTTGGGTTCGTGGCAGAGCTCTGGCCGGCTTGTTCCTTTCTTTCATGCGACGTTCCCGTGGCGGAGTACAACGATGTGACTTTTCCCATTGCTGGTCCGCTGCGCTTCAGGGTAGGTACCTCTCGAGGACAAGGGAGGGTAAGGGGACTGCTAAGAATATCCCAAGCCCCTTGTAGGTGGCCTCTGGGATCGACAGGATGGTGCGCTCAAGGCATTCTTCTCCCGTGCCCCGTCGCTTCTCATAACAACTGAACCTCCAGTTTCTTGAATTTGCCTGTGAAGGAAAAGGCCGGGCCATATCAGGAATCTATTATTATTACACGGCGTTCCAAACTTGGGATCCACAGAAGCCGTGTCCTGGGGATGTAGGGTAATAACGCCAAGTAGAAGAAGTAAGCAGAGAAACTGAAGTACCCCCGTCCACACAGTTCTTCAGGGAGGCCATGGAGAGAGAGGGCTGGGTGGAGTTTCAACATACCTCTCCGATTTGGTCTCGCCCACAATCTCGGGCTCCCTCCAGGATTATTATTTTCCGATTCTCTGGGCCTTGGAGAGGCGAAGATCCTTTCCGTCACAGCCTTGCTCGACACCCTCTCGTCGAAAAAAAAAAAAAAAAAGAGAGGCACAACACCAAGCCATCTTCTTTCCGACATGTACTTGAAACCAGGCCAAAGTCATTTCCACCTGCACCTTTATTCCATACTCTCTTTATGACATGAAGAACCAAAATTAAAACACGATCCTACCAAAAATATCCCTTTGGAAAACGGACGTGACCGATAGTCTGCCCTTTTTTCCTGTTCATGCCACGGCGGCCGCCCTCTCAATCTTTGGACCTAGGGTGATTGTAAATGTATGGCCAAAGGACTCGTCTTCTTGCCTCTCGCCGCATCTTGTGTTGCCTTTTGAGGGAGAGCTGTGAGGCAAAGGGACAGGATCAGGTAAGATTGAGAGAGAGAAAACGGGTACGAAAAAGGGGAAAAATTCGTTGGTCAGCCAGACCAAAGAGATTCGGATCATCATTCGTCCTAGGTTAGTGGACTTGTAGACAGCACGCCGTGATTGATAATCAAGCCAAAATTCCCTTTCTCTCTGAAGCTATCATGATGGGCTTGTCATCCTAAAACCGCCGTGGATTACAAACCGCCCCGGGGTTGGTGACGCGAACAACAAAAAGCAGAGCCAGAGGCAGGGTAGAAAAGAAAGTGGCATGCAAATCATCCATCCAAAAAAAAAAACCTCCTCGGGTTCGTCATCGCGAGCCTCGCGCGCCGGGAGGGTGAGCCCAGGAATTCTTCCACTTCGTGCCAATGACCACCCTGACAATGGTCACAAACAGAACTAGCGGCCACCACACCCGCACCCAAGCCCGCGCTAGAGAGGCTCTTGAGAGGGTCACTCGGTCGTTACAACCCCAGCAAAGTGGCTCAGCAAGTCCAATGGTCTTCTCCCCACGCCCCCTCCGGGTCCATCTCCCACCCCACCCCTCCTTTCTCTTTATGTCTTGTGCTTCTTTCCAAGAGCACTCCCCATACAGCTGGGAGGCAGCGATCTCGTTGGCTTAGAGGCGGGGTGTGAGTCGTTTTGTTTTGGGGAGGGGTTCCTTCTTTCTCGTCTCTCTTGGCTGCTCTGGCCACTCCTGGGGGAGGGTTTTTCCTTGGCCGCCGCCGACTGGACTGATGCATGATGGATGCAGGTGGTGCTTGGCGGCGAGTTGAGGAAATGAGTTTAGTGTCGTCTCGGGAGACGTGCAGGTATGATTCATAGGCCGACCCGGCCCATCCTCGAGCAAGATGAGAGAAATTGAGAATGGAGAGAGAGAGCATATGGGAGGTGCCAAAATAATGAAAGAAGTTGACTCGAACCGGGAAGAATCGAGGTCATTTGGTAGCGGCTATCGGACAAACTTCACTTGGCGTCACTTTATCTAGTTTAAGCTACCTTCCTCCACCCGTCATCTTGCCGATGCCCGGCCTCGGTCTCCGTGCCCAGGGCGGATGGCGGATCGTGGAGAGCACCGGGCACGCAAGAGAAGCAAATAATAGGAAGGGAAAGAAAAAGAAAAAACAAGGAATGGCCCTGTCCGGAAAACGGGCGGGCGTGGGGTGGGAAGGGGGATCAGGAAACAAGCAAACTCGAGACGAGACGAGACGAGAGTGGCGAGATGGGGGCCGTCAGCCCTAAGGCACCCATCAAATCTATCAATGATGTTTCGAGGTCCCTTTAACTCACTGACGCTGGGGGTCTAGCAGCAAACAAGGGGGTGGGGAAAAGTGGCAGAGAGAAAAAGACATGGAGAGACCGGAGGGAAAGCACGGATCCTCCTAGGCAAAAGGGAAAGAAACATTCTTTTTGCTTCAATGCTGGCTTGAATTTGGTTTTGGGGGTGAGCGACATTGATGGAACTCGGCATGGAGCACCGAGGGAGGACCCCCGATTCTCCTTCGCCGAGCGAAAACGGGGACACCCGACTGGTCACTTGTTCCAGCCCTAAAAGGCGGGCGATCAGTCCAGGCAGCACTCGCCAAGGATTTCAATCCCTCCCCCGGGCCTGCAGAGGCGACATGCAGGATGAACCCTCTCCCTTTTTTCGTCTTGCCCTTGGACGACTTGGAAGGATACACACTATTGATCACTTTGTCTCCTTGCGACCGTGGGCCTTTCCGTCTCCTTCTCCAGTCGATGGCCGACCACCCGGCCCCGCTTGTCCCAGTTCATTTCTCCGCGAAAAGTGTTTCTGCCTCCGGGGCCACACGCCCCTCTTCCCTCGTGCCTGCCTGGGTTTCCTGAGGCCATTTAGGAAAGGCCGCCGTGTTAGCGTCTGACGCAACTTGAACAGAATTCCCCAGGGAGCGAATAGGACCACAGTCTAGGACCAAGACCGGTGCCGTCTGTAGGACGAGACCACTTGCAGTCTCACACCCTTGACCTCATCAAATCGATCCATCCATCAATCCATCCTCTATGTTTCCCTTTGACGTCGCTGCCATGTTTCCAAGGACAAAAACGTGGAAGAGAAGGAAGGGAAAAATGTCCCTGCCTGATTCGCCTCAGGTGCTCTTGTCCCCCGTCCCCCACTGTGCTGCCTATCGCATCGCGGGGTTGAATCAAGAAGATGCAGAAAGAACAATTCAATTGATGAAGCGGTTTCATCGCTTCTGACTGGCCCAACCCAAATTCCTTTCCCAATCCTTTTGTCAAGCGGAAGAATATCCAAAAAGTCGCGCGATGAGGTGAGTGGCCACGAGCGTGGGCACACCTTCCCGGTGGGGAAGGGCGTGTGGGCGTGGAACATTGAAAGTTGATTTTTGGGTGATGGTCTTCCCTCCCCGAATTTTGAAATTTCGGGGTGTCTGTCGCGATTTTGCTTTTTTGAGTTTTTGACGACTTTGCCCAGTCTCGGATTTCTTTTATTCCTTTTTCGCCAGCCTTGGACTGTCGCCAGACTTTCACGATTTAGCTAGCGCAATTGATGGCCTTTGATTTTTGTTCATTCCATCCTTCTAACTTGACGGCTATTTTTTTCTTGTTCTTTTTCATTGTCCCTCTTCCTCTCTTCCTTCAGGGTTAATTTTGGTTTCCCTCTTTTCATTGTTTGGCTCGTCATCAATGTTGATCGAGATGATTCTTCTGGGCTGCCTCTGGGAAGCAAAACTCGAATCCTACGGGGGCTTGACGGGAGGGAGAAGAAGCTCTGCGCCGCAAAAACACACTTTGCCATTGAGTAAAAAAAGACAGAAACGACACGGCATTGTCAATTGCAAGGGCAAAATCAGAAGGGCAAAGGCGACAAAGGCGCAATCTGTCCTGGCTCCACCCAGTTGTAAGCCAATCAGATGACGGCTGGTTCGCCCACACCACACACACCCCTTCGTCCGTCCTCTTTACAATGGGAGGTGGGAAAGGTACCACTGAAACCAGCAGTGTAGTCTGGTTTTTGTTAGTGGCCACAGGCCAACTCTGCAAAGTCGGCGAAGTTCTGGCAAAGTAGCCACACACCCCCTGGTCCTGGGATGCCTGTGCCCAGGTCCCGTCCACGCTGCATGGGCCACCCTCCCAACTTGCACACCCCTGGCATCTTTTTCTTGAGGGTGGGTGCACAGCACTGAGCAGCCACCACTAGCGTCCGTCTGCCTGCCTGGGGGAAGCACTGAAAGTTGAGCAGAAGGGCCCACTGCACTCCATCATTGCCCGCCAGCCAGCACAGGGATTGCTTGCTCTGCCACCTTCTGGCACTGGGACCCGTCAACGTTGAACTACTACGCTCCCCCTGTCAGTGAGTCGGGAGTGAGTGCATGGCTTATAAACCTTCTTCGATCTCCCACTCTTTTCTTTTTCCCTTCTTGTATTATTCGACATCTGCACCTTCCCATCCACTTGCATACCATAGAGGACTACAAGTACTCGTTTCCAAACACACTCCTACTTTTCCCTTGCGACCCTTGTGCTTCGGACTCTTTTTTCCACGCCCTTGTCTGCTACTCGCACGCCCCCTTTTCACCTTTCAACGCCTCTGCCTCTACCTCTCTCTCTCTCTCTCACACTCTCTCCCGACTCACATCGACGCTAGCTCCTGCATACACTTCAGATACATAACACACACTCGCATATATATTTCCTCCTTCCCCGGACACTCACCTCCTACCCTTGACCTCTTCTTCTCTTTCATCCAACATCTCGACACACACAAGAGAGACTCAACTACAACAAGACACTCTTCAGTCAGGCTACCTGACAACCACTCTCGCTCTTGCTTCGGCATCGGCCATCCACCTTGGGCACTTTAGCAAATCTCGCCCACCCAGCTCGGTTACCAGTCCGAGACTCCTCTCCTTGTCCGGTCCACCACCTACCCAGCCATCACCACAAAGGGTTCCCTTCGGACCCCCTCCCACAGCAACAATGTGCACCAGCGACATCTACCGCTCCATCGGCCACGACGGTGTCCACCGCGAGACCCGTGAGATTCACCGCTGCACCGCCTTCAAGCGCGGTATCCCTTGCGACCCCATCGTCTACAGGCATCCCGTCGCCGCTCCTCGTCCTACAGTCACTCCCTCTCCAGCTTCCTCCGTGGGCCACTCGGCACCCGTGGACATCCCCAACCCCTCACCCCGCTACTCCTCGACCGGTGCCTACTTCCTCCTTCTCCTCGCCTGACGCCTGGCCAAAACACGCCCGTCACCTATCACACATCCGACTCCGAGGGTGACCGCTCCGCAGCGTCCTCGTCAGCCTCTCGCGAGAAGCGGAGGCCCAGGAGGCCCAGCGTGTACGTCAGCAGCGCTCCTCCCCACATTGTCGAGGCGGCGTCCTCGCCCACGACCACCCGTCGTCGCACCTCCACCTCGTACCACCACTCGAGCAAGCCTTCCACCGGCAGCAGCAGCACCGCATCGTCATTGTCGAGGCGCCGCCCACCTCGCGCACGCCTCCCCAGGCCTTTGACGCTCCACGCACCGCTCCCTCTTCGCCCTCCTTCCCCTCCATCCCCGCGGGCGAGGATAACCTCCGCTACCGGCCCGTGATTGTGGACGAGCGGCCGCGCGAGAGCAGGGACAGGGACAGCAAGCACCACCACCAGCGTGTCCGCATCGAGGTGCCCGGTTCCGGCCTCGAGGTGCCCTCTGGCTCGGCGGCCCACCACCAGTCCCAGCGCCAGTCGAGCGGTGGACACAGGCGCCAGGCCTCGGACGGCTCGCACCGGTCGCGTGGATCCTCTGGCCACAACAGCGGCACCAGCGACGAGGAGAGGCGCCACCGACGACGTGAGAAGGAGCGCGCCGAGGCCCAGGCCGAGGCCCAGGAGGAGGCTCGCCGGCAGAAGAGGAGTCTCGCATTGCCCAGGCCAACCTCAAGATCTCTCTGCGCCCTACCCAGCCTCTCTCCTCGCGGCGCCCGGCGCCCGCCCCCGTCTACATCCGCCCCACGGTAGACCTCCCGGCTACCGCAGGCCTCGGACTCGTCTCTCCTCCCGCGGAGCCCGTGGTGATTTCAAGCCTTGGGCCCCCGCCCCGCGCCCGTCATCATCGACGACGAGGACGACGAGGAGAATGAGGAGGCGAGGGAGCAGAGGCTTCGGGAGAGGATGATGCCGCATAGGCGTGCTACCATTGGCGCGGGGAGCAGGCGGCACCGCGTCGAGTACCAAGACGGCATGTACAGGCTAGAGTAAACGCACTCTAGTGTCTCTGTGTGCCTTGTTCTTTTCTTTTTGTTTTTTTTCCTTCTTGTCTCTTTGTACTTGTGTCTGTTCTCGAGTATAGGTTCTTGGGTTCTGGGTCTAGGGTATTGATTGGTCTTGGGTATTCGGATCTTGGGTTTCTTGTGTATTATCATATTGGGCTTTCTCTCTTCCCTCTCTTTTCTTTTCTGTCTCTACCTACTTCTTTCCTTTGTCTATTTCTTTTTTTCTTGGTTTCTGAAATGTCTGCAATGCTTTTTAAGAGAAGGACAAAGAAAAATGGAACCATGCTGGAACAACAGAACAGACAGCAACAACAAACAATGGGACAGCCAAACGGGACCCAGGCTCGGGAAATGGGCGTAATGATCATATACCACGGATGGAGCTCATAGCAGGATAATTGATTGATGAAGGCGATTAGCCATTATCGAATTTCTTCTACATAAATGTTTTCTCTCTTGACTTGAACTTTCTCGTGCTTGGTGAACATCAAATGAGCAGAGGGAAGTTGAAACTCGGAAGGGACTGACGTTGGGGACTCGAACTCAGCTCGACTTGGCCCGCATGGCATGGATTCCCCCACACACTCAGGTCCCGTTTGGCTGTTGCCTTTTTTCCTATTCCTATTCCTCGTTTAGTTTAGCCGAAGGTGTCCAAACCTCAGGCCAACCACGATTTAGGTAGCACATGAAGCACAAGTAGAGATAATCGATTAGGATTTAGACTAGAGCTTGGGAGAAAGCAAAGGTGCAAGGAACGGTCGGTCAGGAGTAAGTTTGGTGTTTGGGCTGTTGTTACTGGCTGCTTGGCCCTGCCGTCTTGGTCGAGGCTCACGGTCTACAGCATGCGTGACTGGATATCAAGAACGAAATAACTGCTTTAAATTTAATTTTTTTTCAAATCTTTTTCCTGAGAATGGTTCATGACTTTGCGCTGCGAGATGGCGACGGATAGGATGCTCGGAATCGTCCAGATCAGGTCGGCTTCGACCGGGTTTCTTTGCCCATTGATCAATTCCATCTAGTGCTAGATCCATTGATAGATCTATAGATGGATCCATTGGATTGATCCATGGATCTATATGATGGATTGAATCTAGGGTGCGTGGATAGCAGAAAACCCCACTTGCAGTCTCGGTGGATGCCTGGTCTGAGGGGTTCAATGTGCTCTAGCGGGCTATTACTCTGCAGGTACTATCAGAGGCACTCATTCTAGCTGCACGCTTACAAGATCCCAGGTTCGTTGTGCGAAGGAGCCCCGTGTAAGTGCGGACCAGCTGGACTCGTCCTCGGCAGCTGACAAACAAACGAGCTGGAGGCTTCTTATTTCAGCTACAAACTCATAACAGTGCAATTAACCTTCTCCTTTTAAAAACTTTTCATAGATATTTAAAGCAGGGGATGAGCGGAGGAGGAAAAGTCAAGAGAGAGATTACCGAGCCGATATCGTCGTCGCGGATAAAGGACGGAAAAAGGAAAGAAAACCGGGGATGTCCGCTCTCTCAACCGCCCTCAGCCGCCGAGTGACTGGTCTTTGTCCGTGTCCCCCAGGCTGCCGCTATCGATAAAAAGAAAAGTGGGGGAACGGAACTGGAAAATCGCGAGACGGATCCCTCCGCGACACAGGAATGACCCCGGTGGGGACCAAACGAGGATTATGACAGAGCTTGTTCCTTTTGAGGGTGTGTGCCACTAGTCATAGATCAATGTTGTGTGTGGCATCTTTTTGTGTGTGTGCTCGTGTGTTGTGTGGAGGGAGTGAGTCAAGGTGGGCCCATCTTCACCTCTGCCGGATTCAGTTACAACTTTCGTGTGCAACGAAGATTCGCGCGCTCCAAGTCTACCATCGCGATACCGGGATCGAGAGACCGCGGCGCGAGAACAAGGTGTAGAGGCCTTTGGAGGTGGTGACTTTGTGGGGTTTCGATTTTCGCCTGCAGCGCGTGGGGTTTGAAGAGTGCGGATTCAATCAATTTGCTCGCTAGGCAGAGATGACTCCCAGCTCCCCACCCCCGCATTGATGCCGCATATGGGGGAGGGGAGGGGGAACAAGCCGACGTCCTTGATACATTCAACCGATGGAGTTGCAGAGAAAACTCCCTGTGCACGAAATTGGATGAATCGGGTGGTTTCTTTTTCTCTCTCTCTCTCTCCTGTCAGCACCTTTCATTTCCTCCCTCGGATCCCGGGCGCCTGGAGCTGCAGGCGAGAAGAGAAGAGAGAGCGCGCGTGGACTACGAGCCTGGGGTGCAGAAAGGCCCATGTCACTGCATCGCAGGAGATGGATGGGGGAAGCGATGCTCCAGTAGAATTTAGGGAGGGAGGAAGATATTACTGCCTGTGCTCCGACCTGGGCACGTTCCGAAGGGGGAGAGAGAGGGTGACGGAGCGGAGAATGGGAGCAGGCGCCGAGGGCCATTTCTCGGGACCAAGGTTTTCGGATTTTGGGTGATTGGCATGATGCGGGAAAGAGAGGCGGCGATGACTCCGACGTGTCGTCTATTCATCTCGTCCCCAAGGGTGGCTTGATCCCCTTTGGGGACCTCGATCTCTTGTTTTCTCCCTATGTATCAATCTTGCGGTCAATGTTGGATTTCTTATAGGAAACAAAGAACCAGACGAGAACCCTCGATCGCTTCACTTCTAAAAGCCCCATATATCCTCGGTGACCTAAGAAACTCTCGGACGAGTTGCGAGCATCTCGTCTCAACTTGTCCATGCCATATCCCCATGCATCTCGCATCCTCGCGCTCGCCCCGTTGCCCCACGATCCACGCTTCTTTACACCTCCCCATTTCTGGCATTCCCGTCATCCATCTCCCCCAACGAACGAGAGAAGAGTCATTTCATTTTTTTATTTCCTTGGCGGAAAAGCCTCTTTCTCTGCTTCTGTCCATATTGCTCTCGCCGGAGAGCACAAGCCGTTCGCGAGCAAGCCTCCCTCGTATGCGAGGTAACCCTCCACACGGTCGGCTGCCCGGCCTCTGCATGAGTGGTGGTGGTGGCGTGTACGTCCCCTCCACACCATCTCGTCTTTTTCTTCCAGTCTCTCGTTCCCTCTTTCTTCTCGCCGCGTTCCCTTGTTTGACTCACCCCGAGTCGTATTTGGCACGCTGTGGCTTGTTTCTCTTCGCCCTCCCTCGTCTTCTTTCTGTTTCTTTGTGGCCTTCCCCTGGGGAAAGGAAAATAAAAAAATGAACAGGAGCACTACGACGATCGCGGAGCCGAAAAGGTGTGCTCACGCGGAAGAAAAGGAAACGCGAAACGATTGGTCGCGGTCGGTGAGCGAGGGAAGGGATCGGCTTCGCGCTTCTAGCGTGGACATGCATGACGATGCCGGGCAGAAGATGCTCGGGAGAGAAGCGCTCGACGAACAGGAATAACGCACACAATCACGCCTCAAGGAAAAATCACGAAGGTTCCAAAAAGTAAAACCGAGCAGTAAGAAGACGAGTGGCGCAAAAGAAGACTGCAGCAAAAAAGAAGCAAAGAAATTAACTATACGCTACGAACAAGGCGCATTCTTCTCTCCACGCAGACATCGTCATATCCGCCTGTAACTGTAAAATCCCACCCCTTTTTCCTTTCTTCTGCTACTCGCCTCCCAAGCCAAGACCAAGAGAGAGCCAGTTCGCGCAGTATATCCACCGTCACGCCATGGTTTTCTTTTCTTTTCCACAGCCTGCTCCCAACGATCGTCGTCGCCGCCCCTTCACCGCAACTTTCTTCACCCAACCAGCCCACCTCCCTATTATCGTTGTCTCGCCTCTCGCATATCTCAAGCACCGCATGACCCGATCCTCCCTGTTTCTCTCACCCTCCGCCCCCCTCCCTTTCTTTTTCCATCTCCGGCTTCTACTCACTCCCCTTACCCACCCCCAAAGAAGACCCTCATCTCATCATCTCATCATCCCATCGTTTTTTCATGTCCTAACACCCCTTGACGACCTTGACGTCCACCACCGCAGGCATACCCCCTGCACCGCCTTGACCGCCTCAGCGAGCACGCGCTCCAGATCCTCCGCCTTGTCGACGCGCGCAGCGTGGAGCTGGCCTCCCGCCGCCGCCTTGGCGATGCCCGAGTAGTCCGGCACCGGGTCGAACGAGATGTTGATCTCCTCATTGGTCGCGCGAGAGGCCTCGCCGTCTGGGTGGACGAGGAGGTACGAATTGCGCGGCGCGTTCCAGCCTAGAGTAGCTCAAGGTGTTAGTCTTTGCAAAAACAAAAAAAAAGAAAAGAAAAGAAAAGTACGACACGCACCCTTGTTGTTGAGAACGACGGTCAGCACGGGAATCCCGTACCGCCTCGCAATCCAATACACGCTACCGGGCACCGAAAACATATACGTCCCGTCCCCGACAACCTGCACCACAAACCGGCCGGCCCCCGCTCTCCTTATCCGCCGCCAACTTGATGCCCATCGCGCCGCCCCCGGACCACCCGAGTCCGCCGCCGCCGCAGTTAATCCACGACCCCGGCCGCGTCGGCAGCACGCCGTCGTGCACGAACCCCGTATTCGTCACGGCCTCCACCGCCCAGATGGCATCCTCGGGACACACCCGGCGTAGCGTGCGGCAGAGGTACCCGGCGCCGAACGAGCCGTCCTCGCGCGGCTGGAACTTGAGTTCGAGGGACGCCAGCAGCTCCGCGTGCGCCGCCGCGCGCGACCGCGCCGCGGTAATGTTCTCCTCCGACGCGACGCGGGCGGCGAGGGCGCCCCCGTCCTCGCGGTCGAGCTCGTCGAGGATCTGCTCCAGACTAGCACGGGCGTCGGCACGATAGCGAGCCTGAGCGGGGATCCAAAACACGGGCATCTGCTGCTTCAGCGGATCCACATCGACGTGAAAAACGCGCGCACCAGCGGGCGGAGCACACTGCGTCGGGATCCAAGGCACGTCGCAGTCGAGGACGAGAATGGCGTCAGCCTCGCGGATGGCATCGTGCACGCCGTACCGCACACCCAACCACGCGGCGTGGTCCGCGGGAAACACATGTCGCTCGCGCCCGTATCCAGCACGCGCAGCGCCCCGACACGGTCCGCCAACCGCACGAGGAGACCGGGCACCTGCAAGTTACGGCCCGAGTACCCCGTCACCACGAGCGGGGCCTTGGCGCCGGCCAGCGCCTCGGCAATGGCGCGCGCGGCACCCGTGGGGAGCCCCCGAGCGCGATGGGCTCCCACTCCTCCGGGTTGAGGTCGGGTTGCGGGACGAGGTCCATTTCCATGACCTCGCGCGCGGCGCACAGGTACGCGGGACCTTGGGGTCGGAGCGCGCCATCTGCAGCGCGCGGCCGACCATTTGCTTGATGTTGAAGCCCGTCTTGATCTCGGCCGTGTAGCGGCAGTACTGGCTGACGATTTGCTTCTGGTCGGGCACGTCTTGGATCCAGTGGATGAATTCGGTGCGGCTGCCGCGCATCTCGCCGGCTTGGGTGAAGGGTGAGACGCCGGCGAAGACGAGCACGGGGGCGCGTCCGCACGAGGCGTTGTGGACGGCGGCGCCGAGGGCTTGGGTGCCTACGTCGACGTGGACGATGACGCATTGGGGTTTGCCTGTTACGCGGGCGTAGCCGTCTGCCATGGACATGGCGACCATCTATGAGGGATGGGCAAGGTAGCCCTGTGTTAGTTTTTCTTTGTTTCTCCTGTTTTACTCAAGTCGAGGACAAGAAAGGCGTCTCTGATGCAGCCGGCAGCTTCATGTCTTCATTTTCGTCCTAGCAGCTTCTTAAACGGCAGCACATACCTCATTGGGACAGGTGATGATGCGGGGAAAGGCATCCTTCTTCCCGCGCTGGCCCGTGACCATGGCTTCGATGATGCTAGGATGATCGGAGCCCAGGTTCACGAAGCAGTGGGTCACGCCCGCGGCCCAGAGGGCCTCGAAGAAGGCGAGCGATGCTGTATACATGGCTTCCTTGGTTTCGTCGGCCTTGGTAGTGAGAGGGAGGGAAATGGAGGGGAGGTGTTTTGTTTGTTGATTATCACTCGTGATCTGCGTGCCAAATGGTGCGTAGCAAGTAAGTGAATCTCTCGTTTCCTTAAAACTTTGCTGCTTCGGTCTCGACTTGGGTTCGTCCTGTCCTATACTTCCTGCCCCGCGTCGGTCGATTGTGCTCGAGAACCACCAGTTTAGTATAATTATCGCGTCGTTTGATGCCGATTCTAGGAGTAGCGGGAGACCCCAATGACCAAGAAACCAAAAGAAGGAGAACCCAAAAAAGACGGGTGTATATTATCACAATATCTAAAATCAAAAGAAAGAAAAGGAAAAGAACAAGGCAAATCAAAAGAATGGGGGAAGTCACAACGTCAAAAGGATCCAGATCCAAACCGCCGCAGATCCACCTTTCTCCTCATCGCTTCTGTCCCCCTCCCCAATTCCCCAGTGCGACCTCTTCGGCCGTCCGGCTTATGTCCACGGGAGGCAAGCGAGTGGGAAAAAGTGCCGAGATGCGACGGCGGCCCCCTGCCCCCAAAAATAATAAGACGAGTCGCCCGCGCTGGGTCCGTTTTTTTTTTTTAGGACCAACAATCGATCTAGGAAAGCTCGCGCGCGACGCCGTGCGTGGGTCCCGCGGGGTGACAAGGGACTGTGTGGGGTCGGGGGAGAGAGAGCGGGGAGGAGGGGAAGCAGTCGAGAGACACGGATCAAGATGGGGGTAGCGAGGTGAGGGAGGGTAAGCGGGAGCCTCCAACGAACAATTGGGGAGGGATGAATCCCATCTGCCAGCTGCAGTTCGACTTAGAGAGAGAGAGAGAAACCCCTTGAAAAGAAAACGAAAGCGTCCCTCTCTCTTCTTCGTTCTTACGGGGTTCCCTTGGTGTCGTTGAAATTCAAGACGGATTCCCATTGCCGCGAATGGGCGACTTCAAGCCACTCCTTCCTTCGCGCGGCAGTTGCTCAGTTGGAGTCAATGACGTGAACGAGGTGGGGGAAACGAGTAAAGCAGCACAAGGAAGGGAAAAAGGGGTTGGTTTGGATGAACCCGTTGCTACGGATGGGTTAGCGTCTGCGCGTTGATTTGGAATACCCTCTTTTAGTGCGCCCATTCACTTTCCCCGGATTTGCCCATCGGTTCGGCGTTGTGTCTCGTATGTCTCCATAAAAATGACTCTTGTGCAACTTCTTTCTCTGGCCGGGGAGCCGACGACGGGGGAAATCAACGAAGAATGTCTTGCGTGCCTCGGCACAAGCTAAACAGGACAAAGAACCATATACAAAGAAAGAAAAAAGGAACGAGAAATGAGAGAGACGAAATCGCTTCGTTGATGCACAAGAGCACACGTCCCCGGTCCAGACCGCACTGGCAGATGAGAGGCGCTGCCGATCTCGACCCCGTCTCTCCCCGGCGGCGTGGCTGCTCTCGAATCAGGAAACGAGCCATCACATATGTACTTGCTGTACGTGTCGCACGTGGCCATGCAAGCCTCCGGAGAAGAAAAGAAGAAAAAGAAAAGCAAAAACGTCGCGGGTGCGGTGCGCCCCAGCCCGCCCTCTCCCCTTCATTCGCGACTTGTATTTTTTGTCTTGGCTGATCGTGAGCCTGCATGTATCCAGTGCGTTGGTTGCCTTCCCGGCCGACGGAAATTTTGGGTGCGGCGCCGAAGCCTCAGTGAAAGTGAGACCCGAGGCCCGAATGCCCGAAAAGTGACAGAAGCCACATATTCCCGGCGCCGTTTCGCCGGGCCATGCCAAAACGAACCAAGGCAAAAATCAAGGGCAACAAAGTTACACATATGCGAAAACAACAGGACAAAGGTTTCAAAGCCTACATGTAGCCGAGGAACAATGAATCAATGCCCAACGAAGAGAACCTGCTTGCTGCTGCTGCATGTACAATACATTTCAACTTATTTGATCTACCCGGATCGGATCCTCACCTCATTATTAGTGATTAAGTTTTCTATCAAAAGACGCCACCGCCCAATGTCGTGTACCCCAAAACACTGGTTTCCAACCCCAACCCCAAGAAACGATGCGACATCAAAGGTAAAAAGTCCATCATTCTTAAGGACCCACCAAAAGAAGAGAAAAGAGAGAGAGGGAGAGAGAGGGAGAGAGAGGGAGAGAGAGGAGAGAAAATGAAGCCAAGACACGATGGAGGGCTATCGGCCTTTAAACCCCCTACGAGCCCAGCGGCCTCACGCTCTGCGGGTTGGAAAAAGTGTTCTTAGGATCCCACGTCGTCTTGATCTGCCTCAATCTCGGCACGTGGCCCTCCCAGTACGCCGCCTCCGCCTGGTCTCGGGGAATCGCTGGATCCACGTAGCCGGCATACGTCGTGTTGGCACCTGTGCTCGAGAGGCGTCCGTGGATACCCTCGAGGAAGTTGCGGGTAGACTTGGGGAGCGATCCCAGGCCCACGGCGTACGACTGGTAGTAAAGCACCTTGTCCCGATGAGGATACGCCGTCGCCTCAAGCGGCACATCGTTGACCGCGCCGCCCGACGCATCAAAGATGACAAACCATAGAAGCGTACCCTTGTCGGCGCCGTCAATGTAGTTGAAGAGGTCGCGCACGGGCGCCGCGCCGGGCAGCTGCTTCGGGGTCATGGCCAGCGCCTTGCTGTAGAAGGCCGTGGGGAGATCACCAAGGTAGAGCGCCTCGTTGCCTGCCTCGTGCACAAGGCTGGCAAGCCAGTCGTTGACCACGGCGCTCGCCCGACCCCCTGAAGGGATACGCTTGGGAATACCCGAGGCCTGGAACTCGGCCTCGGTGCCGAAAATGTGGTCGTGATGACCACGCCTAGAGGCTGCACCACAAACTCGGACCCGAATCGCCGGTCGAGGTTGGGGTCGGCGATGAGCGCCTGCCACTTTTCGTACACCGACGCCATCTCCGAATGGCGGCCAAAGGAAAAGGCAAAGGTATGCTGCACGACCGCTCCGGGTGCCGGGTGGGTGCGCATCTTGAACTCGGTGATGACGCCAAACGATGCGCCTGCGCCGCGAAGAGCCTACATTCGAATGAGCAAAAATTTCGAGTCACTTGGATGCGACAGCTACAAAACGAAGCAGCCGAGGAACGCCCACTTACCCAAAATAGATCCGAATTCTGTCGCTCGTTGGCCCTTACAATCTTGCCCCCGATGTCACGACCTCCACCTCGACAATGTGGTCCAAGGCGGTGCCCCACATACGGCTCGAGGGTCCCAAGCCGCCAATAGTCGCGTGGCCGCCGATACCGACGCCGGGGCACACTCCGTGGGCAAAGGCCCGGCCGCCGGCCTTGTGCATCTTCTTGTCGAGCTCTCCGAGGCGGGTACCGGCACCTACGGTAACATCCCAAGTCGTCTGGTCCACGGAGAAGGATTGCATATTGACAAGGTCGATGACGACGTGGCCATCTTCACCACCAATGCCGTAGTTGCTAGAGAATGGGAAAAAAACAAAATGTTAGCCAGGCGAATATTTCATATTATCCAAAATTATCTTCTCCTGGATCGATCCAAAGAATGAACAAGGTGGGCAACGACTCAAGGGGCGAGGCGACTCGACACATACGCATAAGAATGCCCTCCGGACCTAGCCTGGACCTTGGCCCCCACGCTCTCGGCGCATTTCACCACGGCAGACACCTCATTCGTATTCTTGGGCCGGAACACGGCAATGGGTTCGATATCGATCTCGAGGTTGAACGGCTTCACCCAGGCAAGCTGGTAGAACGGGGTGCTCGGGTAGGCGACGCACTCGGCACGGCCGGCGCAGATCGTGTTGAGGCAGGTTTGGAGCGGGGTGCTCGGCGAGTTACCCATGGTGGATGTAAACGAACGCTTCTTGAAAAGGAAGGAAAAAGAAAGAGAAATCCAGAGACGTGGCGGATCGGTATGCGAGAATGCCGGGTATCTTTTTTTCTGTTTCCTTTTAAATCAAGTCGCTCCTGATGCTCGATGCGCTGATCGCTGAGTCCGAAGAGAAGGTAGAAGTCGGCGTCCGCTCAATGCTCAAGAGAATGTTCGGGGAAAATGCAATCAAAAAAGAAATCGAGGAGCAAAGCACCAAAAGTAGCGAAGCGTGGAAAAAGAATGCAATCGGGAAGGAGACGTCGGAAGAGGAATGAGAAAACAGGGAAGTTACGAGTTACGCGTGCCACGTCAAAAGTGCTACTTGGCTTGGCCTCGGTGAGGAAGGGATGATCCTCGATCGTAAAGATGGAGCCTGTTTTTGGGGGAGGTTTTCAAGCACGTCCCGACCCTCTTTGAAGAAAAGGGATATTGGGACTCCCCAGGAAAAAGGTCGAGAGAGAGGACTACTTGAACCCTTTATACAAATGGCAATGGGCAATGGAACAAAAAACGTCAAAAGCGCCTTGAATAGATCTATTGATCAATGCCACTCGCCTCAGCCCTTCCCGAAGCAACCCTTTTCCCCTCGCGTATGCTGTGTAGCGGTCCTGCCGTGCAGACTGACCATCTGCTGGTGACCAATGGCCAGAAAAACCCCATCTACCACTTTCTATTGCTGTGGTACCCTCCTTTTCATCGCTGTTCCCCTTGCCTGCCATCTCCCTCCCTCTCCCTCCCATCTCCCTCCATCGCCAATGACGAGGGAGAAAAGCGCAAACAGTAACAAACCTAGCTCAACTCAGGGACCCGGAATGGTCTGGCTGACATCGAAGCCCCTGGCCCTAGCCACCAGTTAACAAGTCTCTCCAGCCATTCAGAATAGAAAAGAGCTAAACAGCTCACTGCCCATCTCCAAGGGTCTTTGGCCAGCGCTGCCCAACGCCGCTCCCTACCGCCCTACCTCCCTCCCTTTGCACGAGCTAGAGTACTCGGAATCGAGGTACCACAAATCGAACATCCGAGTTTCTAGCCACTCACGAGTCGAACCAGCCTCCCTCCCTCCATCTCTGATCAGTCGAGAGTTTCCGCTCCGTCCCCAGACCAGGGTCCCGCCCGGCCAGTCAGACGACGTAGAACGTGCGCTCCACCCTCGCAACCTTGGGAATGATGACATCTTCGAACGCTGAGTGGTCAGAAATGCCTGGCTGCTCAAATGGGTGCCAAGATTCTCCCTTTGTGTCCCTCTTCGCCAGCAACATGGCGAGTTGCAGGCCATCAACCTTTCTCTTCTAGGCCTTAATTCTCGACCTCAATTTTTTGTTCAAATATCTTCTCTCCTCCTCTATCTCTCTCTCTTTGCCAAATCTTGCAAAGCCTATTAAAGGTGTGCGTCAAGGAGGGCCGCTTTGGGGGTCTCGCCCATTCTCAAAGATCCTTGACCCAAAATATGGCTCAAAAAGCTGCAGAGGCACTCTCTTCTTGCGCCGGACGGGGAAATGATGTCGCCGACTGTCCATAGAGCCGTCTGTCGGGACGCCCGTGGACAGCCTCCCAACCCAAAGATCCTTGATGCCTACCAACCCTCCACACCGCCCTGTGCACTTGGTTGCTTTTGCTTTGACGGGAAGGTCAGAGTAATACCTCGAACCCCTTCCGGGGAGGGGAAATAATACTCATGGAGAGAAGGAAGCGACCCTCGAAAAAGACTGGCCGAATGACACCCTGCGCGCCTCTCGGGGCTTTCCCATCCTTTTGCCATTGGGTTGGCCTCTGTTTGTGTTCGGGTCGCATGAGACTGTGAGACCTATGCTGTACGGCGACTCGCCCTGCCGCACGCACGCTGTACGAGTGCTGCAGTTTTCAATTTTAATAAGGCAACTGTCCCCACGCCGTTGTGCTACATGAGCGTGATGAAAGACATCACCGATGTTTATGGAAGGAAAGAAAATATGGTAAAATGGAGAAATACCGACTGCCGGGTCGAAGGCGTGCGCCTCGTGTGCATGACTGAAATGTGGCGATCAGCGGATCGAGGTCAAGTACATGCACCAACATTGACAAAAGCTTCGCAAAGATTGGCCTCCTGGCCTCGTCCTTCTCTACTTGTCTACCCCTTCGTCACTTCGTCACCCCTCCATCTCGCGGTGGCGACCGTTGTGAGGCACCACCACCCAAAATCAGGTCTAGTACTTGCTGGATTCATGGTTCGAGACGCTGCAGCCCATGGGCTAGGAACCCTTGACCTCTTTTCTTCCCCAGAATTCTTTTCTCTCCAATCCTCCAGTCCCCACCATCCCTCCGACCTTCCTCCTTGGCGCACATCTGCACCCCAACTGGCCTTGACCAGGGCAGAATCCGCGAGAGCCGAGATGAGAAGGAGGGCCGAGAAACACAACAAGACAAATATCCGCCACAGGTGCCGCCCCTCTCCTAACTTCTCACTTTGAAATTCGAGTTGGATTCTTGATGCATCCGCGCAAATATTGATAAATATCATTGCAAGAGCGGCGGAGTTTGTCCAAAGGAAGGAGAAAGAAGAGCCCTTGATGGAGAAAATTAGTCTAGAAGAAGCACGAAATAATAATCTCGTGAGAGATTTGATGAGTTGAAGTCATCCGGAGAGAGATTACCGCCGTGCTATTGAACGGTCCTCTGCTACATGAACTACATGTAGACATTATGTTGTCTCTGATGCGATGCACCGGCCAGTGTAGACGCTAGACCCATCGATGAACCTGCCCCTTCGTCCTCGTCCTCGACGATATTCCACTCTGCGCTGCGTGACCTCTTCCCATCATTGCCACATACGCATGTCTTTTCTCCTTTTCCCGCTGGTCCCATTCATCAAATCCTCATGATGATCCTTTTTGTCCACCTTCCTTTCTCAATCGGAACTTCCTCCAGATCTGTCTCGGCGCGCCGCATGTCCAAGTCCCTTTTTGCAATAGATGGACTTTCCATCCTTTGGTCATCTCCGCCTGCACGCGGTCTATGATCCGTCTCGCTCTGATTTCCTAGCACCTATGATGTATTTCTTTTTCTTCATGAGGAGAGAAGAAGCTCCCGGTGCCACCACACCCTCTCCCACCCCCGGCCGTCATCCCAAATGTCTCACTTCCCGCTTTCTCCCCCGTCCCATCCTCCTCTCCGCCCCGCCCCACGGCCTCCCCTCTTATTTAGGGTCCCTTCTTCCGGGGGCAGGGGAAACGAACAGCGGCTGACCAAGAGCTGTGACCCCGCGTCTGCGCCGTAAGAGGCTTCTTTCCCTCCCTACTAATCCCATTTTTTCGGGGGTCCATTGATCGGCCCACCTCCGAGGCCAATACGGCCGAGTTGAAGCATTGACAAGGTTGGATGCTACCGGAAATAGATGGCGCGCAACGCACCTAGCCATGGGTGGATGCAGAAAATACCGGTCACACACATTGCAGAGCGTACATACACACATACACACATACACACATACACACATACACACACACTTACACACTTACACCCTCGCACACAAGTATGCACGCAAGAAAAAGGCAGAGACAGCACCGAATGAGGCGAGGACGCAGGCCTCCAAGCACAAGAGGAAATCACATTAGAAAAAGGCCAAGGGAATCAGATCGTATAACGTTCATTCCGATTGCTATTGGGATAAATATATATATAGCTATGTATTTTGTTTTTTTCTAAAGCCAAAAGGTGTCACTGAGCTCTCCCCAAAATGTACGACACGAGAGTTTAGAAAAAACGAGTCGCAAACTAGCAGGGCAAGTAAGACAAAGAAACACATGGTCAGGTTGACAAGGTATCATTCAAGGAAATTTTTAGGCCGTCGAGGAGAGCGCAACCCCCATTCACTCCTTTGCCTAGATTCGAGATGAAAGAGGCATAGAGAGATATGGGCAGGAAACAAAAAGAAGAAGAAAAAAATGACAAAAGAAAACGGAAAAACATAGGCAAGATCCAAGTCCGTCTTTTTACTCGTCTGTGACTCCGAAAACAAAATGAAGTCCCACAACGAGCACACGAGCTTGGTGATGAAGCAAGGAAGGACAGGTATACGTGTGTTTGTGAGCGTGTTGAAAACAAGCGCGTGGTTGTTTGTCGTTAAACAAGAAAGAGTCATCGCTAGCTATCGCCAAAAAGAAATAATATACGAAAAAGCAGGCGCCGGGAGGTGATTCCGCGTGCCCCGATGGGGGACTAAACGGCGGGTAGGAGAAAGAATAAAAGGCAAGTGCCGAACTCTCGTCTTCCACATAATGGGTGCGTGTGGGAGTGTGCGTGTGAGCGTAGGCGTGCGTGTGCGTAGGTGTGTGTGTGTGTGCGCGTGTGTGTGTGTGTGTGTGTGTGTGTGCGTGAGTCCGTGTAAGCGAGGACCAAGTGATGATAATGCGTGACCCCCAGTGTGCGCCGTTCCAACCAAGCAGAAAAAGAACCAACCAAAAATCCAACCCTTTCCATACATCGATTACAACACCACCACAGCCGTGGGTAAAGGTGGTGGTGTCAAGGTTAACCCATACCCCGGATCCAAGGAAACCTCCCCTGAGGACACTGCGTCAAGCAAGCAGCGCTGCACCGCTCTCTAGCCTGCTCACGCCTCCTCCGTGATGCCACCCTCACCACCGCCCTCTTCTCGCCATTCCCTGGATCGGTTCGTCAGCTTCCTCACTCCTCCCACGCGACTCGCCCAGAGGCTCTCAATCGGCGTCCGGTATGTGAAGGCGCGTTGTGAGCTAATCACACCAATAGTCTGGAGAACCGCTTTGCGGCTGTCCCGACTAAACACGGCCGGGTGGTTGATCCACTCGAGGCTGCTTTCCAGCTCCGCATCGAGCGCCGCCACCGTTTCCGCATCGATACCCGCACCCAACGACAAACCATCCTGGGATCGGCTTCTTCCAATCGCACCGTTGGTCGCCGAGGAATGAGCCGAGGTCGTCGGTGACGGCGTGCGCTTCCTGTCAGGTGTCGCCGAAAGCGGAGATACGTCCGACATGCCGTGGCCCATCATGGGTGACTTGGAAGGCATCGACGGTACAGGAGGAAGCCCACCCTTGCCAAGGCCCTTGAGAATCGATCTCGTTTCGTTGAGAAGAGTGTATGCCCTGTCATGCTGTCCACGAGAGACGAGCGTCAACGCCCTCGTGAGCATGTCGGACGTCAAAAGCTCCATCCTTCGCTGCACCACGTTGGGATGAGGGGAATGGGTGGGGTGTTCATCCACGACTTCTTGTTGTGTGAGCCAGGAAGCATCGTGATGGCCAGGAGCGATGGCCTAGGAAGGTGCACTACGGTGCCATCGCGGAGAATGTCACCCCACATCAGGTCCGCCTGGATAAGGGCACTTCCTCAACCGAGACCGTACGTGGCTCATCCGAGTCCATGGAGCCACCAAGCGCCTCCAGGCCCGAGACGAGGCTGTCCCAGGTATCCTGAGGAAGCTGATCCTGCGACGAGGTGTCTGGGAGGATAACAAGTTGCACGAGGATGTCTCGTTTCTCTCCAAATCGCAGATCGCCGAGTGAAGCCTCCGCATCCCGTCCCGTGGCTCGCTTTGTAATCTGAAGGGCGCCGCTGATCTTGTGGAACTTGGCGGGTGAGCCCTCGGGAAGCTTCAGCTTCAACTTGACGTTTTGGTGAGAGAGCGATTGCATGGCGCCCAGGCATCCCGCCAGGCATTCGCGCAGCATCATCCAATCCTTGACGTACGTGTACGACGCCTTCGTCCGGGTCGACAGCTCAATCATGGTGTCCGGCTTGTGCGTCATGCCAAGGCCAAAGGAATGTATCGCGATCCTGCAAATCTCATTAGACTGTGTTTACACAAAAACAGAAGCCAATACAATCAAAAACTTACTTGGCGGCCTCGGCTCGCGAGACGACGAAATCCACGCTATCCACATCCGAGGTGGAAGCATCGCTAATGAGCATAATGGTCGCGATAGGGTTGTTGTACTTGCGTTGCATGAGCAGGTCCATGGCCACGTTGGCACCCTCCACAACATCCGCGCGATGGCTCTTCTGCCCAACGGGCCGAATCGACGAGAGGATGTTGGTCCAACCGGGCCAAGACTTGGTCGTCATGCCCACAATGGGCACGCCGCCACCTCCGGACCCAAAAGTAACCAGACCCATGCGGTCTCGCTCACCAAGCGAGTTGACCATGAAGCGCAGCGCATCACGGACAAGATTAATCTTGACGCCTTGCATGGAGGAAGAGATAGGGACGACCACGACGACATCGATAGGGACGTGCACGGTCGGCGCCATGAGCGGGCTCTTGGCGAAGTTGGTATACTCCGTTGGCGCGGTAGTGGCCGACTTGGGGCCCCACGACGACGCAACCGATGAGACGCGCTGCTGCCGCGATCCTCGGTTCCAGTCTGTCTCCTCATCCGTTTCGGAGAACTCGCCACGGTCATATTCGGGGCTCCGCACAGGAGATCCCTCGACCGCGTTGAGGTCGAGCAGAGCTTGCTGCCAGAGCTTGAGCTGGTTTCGGTTTTCGAAGCGGAGGTGGAACTGGGGGAGCTCCGCCACGGAGAGAGCCAGGGTGAGGATGTTTTCGTCGATGCTACCGGTTTCCGAAACATCGTTGAGATGCTTCTTGATGAGGATCGAGCCCTTGAGCGTGCACCGCGTTGTCTTCTTGGGCATACCGTTCTCGTCCCATTGCTGCGCTGCCGCAATGCGCTTCTCCTTGACGCAGATCAACATCTCGGCAAAGAGGAAGCACTCGAGCTCTTGCCAGGACATCTTGTCCTTGCCGACCTTGAGCGTTCCGTACAACCGCAACTTGCCAAATCTGCTTCCAAGTTAGTACTCATAGAAGGGGGAACAGGCACTTCGTAGGGCAAAAAGCGCCTCTGTTTGTTTGCAAACTCACCTGCTAAAGTCAAGGCCATGCCAGTTGTCCACCCTGTTCCTGAGATTCTCCGTCATCTCGTCCAATACCTCGCGAGCCTCATAAGGGTAGAACCGGGGAGCGCTTCGCGCGGGCGAAGGGGGCGAGCATAGGACTCGTCTATCCTCGCGGCGAGGGGCGCTACGGACGGCGTGAGAGCGAGGTCTTCCGGGTCGGGGCGCCATTTGTTGTCGGGGACCTCGACAGTGATAAGACAGGTTAGGGTCTGCTGCTGCCTTGACTTGGTCATCGTCGGGAATTCGGAGCGCACCGTGACGGTGGGAGCTGGGATGGGGTTTCGGGCGACGCTTCGGGGACTACCGGGTGTTGTCTCCATGGCCTGCAAATCGTAATCGTGGCGGCGGGTGGGGCCGCTCTGCGTCGTCTCGGGATATCCACCAGACGAGGCCACACCAGTAGCCTCGCTATCGCTTCGAACGTGGCCACGCGAGGCACCATATCGATCGGAGGGGCTTCGCGACTGTCGCGAAGGCTGCCATGTCCATTTCGTCCACCGCTTTGTCTTTGGTTCGAGTCGACGCTAGCTGCGCGGGGCCCATGAGGCGCATCCCAACTGTTGTTATTGTTGTTGTTGGGAGTGGGAGTAGGTGTCCCTTGAGACCTGTTGTCCGTCGCCGAGGCGGATCTCACCAGGTTTGTGATTTTCTCTGTGAAGCGGCACAAGATTAATATCGCCTCGAGCCGCAGCTTCTAAGCCTGCCCGGGGTGCCCCTGCTTGAAACTTACCGATATCCAACACATTGCCTGCCCTACTCGTGTCCAGGTGCAAGGGCGCATTACACATGGGGCAGTACTGGGACTCGAATTCCCGGATGAACTCGTAGAAGCATGCTTCGTGGGAAATATGCCCGCAAGAGAACTGAAGTATCCTCTCACCCCGGAGCGTGTGCTCTAGGGGTTCTTCGCACACGGCGCATTCGCTGCCCACAAAAGTGCGCTCGCGGCGCTGGCGGCTGCGATCGACTGCCGTCGCCATGGTGGTGGCTGTACTAAAGCTGTGTAGACTTCGAATGTCTCGGCTGTTTCTCGAGCCGATGGAGCTAACTGAAGGTGAGAATCGGTGGCCTCGCGCCGAGGTTGACCGTGCAAAGCCTAAAAGTAAGGGGTTAAAAGGTCAGCGTCAGGAGTCGTGCGAATTGAGGCGAGCTTGGTGCCGTTGCGTTGAAAATGCGCTCTCGCACCACGAGCGGGGATGTGGAGTGCGGGTCAGGATGGCGAGTCTCTACCACAGCCTACATGCGAGGAAAACGCAATCGAGGGTAGAAAACGAGACGACAAAAGGAGTCACCACGACGTACTTTTCTCGGGATATGTAGGCGTGTCCAAATCGTAGTCTGGTCGAGGTCGTCGTTTAGGAGGCTTGACTGCCGATGATTCAATGAGACCAAGCTTGGCGAGTTGAGTTTCCTCAACCTCGATTTTGCGACCAGATGAAGAGGAGCTGCCGTATCCGTAGCGGTCCTTTAGGCGGCTGAACATTAAAGAGCTTCACTCAGTTTCGATTTGCGAATAAGACCCGACATCAACCCCGGTTGCTGGTCGGTTAGGATAAAATGAATCGAAATTGGCGATATAAGGGAGGAAAGGGAAGGAGGGAGAAGAAGAAGAAAGGAGAGAGAGAGAAAAAGAGTCAGAGAGAGAGAGAGAGAATGTGTGTGTGTTATGGAAGAAGGAGCGAGTGAGTGTATAGATGAGGTGGTGGAGTTGGAGAAGAAGAAAAAAATAGAATGGGAAGCGAAATGGTGGGTAATTGTGGCACGGCCAGCAGGCCAGGAAATGGGCAAGAGGGCCGCTAGTAATAGTTTTAGCAGGGTGTCCTGGCGTTGGTCGATTTTTCGCCTCCCTTTGGAAATTTGGAAAGGGAGCCCAAGCGGGCATATAATATCATCTGGGGGATCAACAGTCGGGCGGGCGGGCCAGGGTCTTGATTGACCCTCGTCTGCGAAGGATGTCGGGAGTCAGTGGGTTGACAAGGGGGTCGAGCCGGGGGTGTGGAAAAGTGAAAAGTGAGGTTGCAAGACAAGGGAGTCTGGCCAGGGAGCCTAGGAAGGGGAGGGGGAGGGTGTGTGGCTCTGGGACCGACATGGATCAATGGATGGGCTGGCTTGGGATTCTGGCCGCCGTGGGCGAGGAACAATCGCCAGGTTGCACTGGACCTGGTGGTACTCTCGTCTAGCCTTGGGCAACTGTTTCAAATCAACGTATCAACAATGCTGGGATTTCCGCGAGACGACGGGGCTACCCATCATGGTGGGTTGCTCGGATCGGGAAAGCTGCTCGGGGATGCAAAACGGCTGGAGCATAAAACTCTCGAGATACAAGGAGTTTGGTAGTGGTGGTATTATTAGAATGAGGGAGGTGATAACTGAGCGGGAAGTTGACGTAGTTTCTTGGGCCTTTACGGCAAGGGATGATGTCGAGCTGAGCGCAATGGCAAAAAGGGAGGGGAAACAGGACTGCTTCGCTGCCGCTTGAATTGCGACGACGTACGTCAGGCCCAAGATTTGCATGCACCCGGGAGCAGTGTGTCTTTCTCCTGCTTGCTTGTCCTGTGTGTGCTCCAAGAGTGGGAATGGTTCAATGTTCTTTGGGAACAGATCGGCCACGCAATCACACTCAAGGGGAGGGGGAAGGGGAGCAGGAAATAAGGATGCACGGTGAAAAACAGAGACCACGAGATTGATGAATCTCAACTACAAGGCAAGCAGCACTGAGGACTCCACCGATCAATGCAAACTGGATGCGTAGCGGATAAGAGAGGGGGACGACTGAGTATTCCGTGTGGGGAATCCAAAGGCTCGGCGCTGTGTCGCTTTAGATTTTCTGAAAAGGCTCCCGCCTCCCAAAAACTGGACTAAGAATCCCCGCCCATCGCTCATGGGGAACGTTCTCCTTGCAAGCTCGTCGACCCAGCTCCGGTTTCTCGCCGTTCTCCTTCCCGCCGTGTTCCTCCGCTCCTCTGCGGCTGTCGGTGGGCTTTTGAATGGCTGCAAACTCCCTCAACAGGCTTTGTGGCGAGGCCCAATGACCAGGACTAAAGGTCTCCGTGGTCCACAAAGTGCCCGAGCCGAGTAGATGGCTTGCTTTTTTGCTTCTTTCTGGTGAGAGAAGCACTCGGTTCGCATCCGTTGATTGGAATTCCAGGCCAAGACATGCAGCAGTCGGGACCCGATTGCGAGGACTCTCCTTCTTCATGGAACCAGCGTTTCGCCCATGATTGGGGGCCCATAGGCGCTCCTTCCGAGACTCGACCCCTTCCTTCCTGTTCGAAACTGGATGCACGAGGGATACCTTTTAGACCAGGTCGTTCGACTCATCACCATTTGATCCTTCCTCCATTTCTCGCCTTCGAGATACCTCGTGTGTTGCCTACTGCTTCGTACAATGCAAGCACCATGCACAGCAGACGAGAGCAGGCCACTCCAATTCTCACACCACAATCGCATCGACAAACTCTTCAGAGTCGCTGTATGCAGTAGCATTCCAAAAGAGCCCATCAAGAATCCATTCCGTATCATTGGGAAACACTTGTGGGCCCGATACCTCCAAGGGATGAATGATGGAGGGGCCGCACTAGCTAGACTGCCAAACCGCGTATACTACTTTTAAGTATTCTTTGGCCGGCCCATATTTTTTCTTCTCTTGCCCTTTTCTCCCGAAGTCAGAGAAGCTGCCATTGACTTTTCTCCATCCTGGGCCCACCCACCCAATCTGCCTCCTCCAAGTACTTTGGCCTGGCCCAGCCTAGAAAGGGGTACTTTGGGAATACAGAACAACAAGGTACTTCCACGTTTCAGAAGTATGGGTTTATACTTTCTATGCGGCCTGAAGCGGGTACCCTTTTGTGAAGCTAGACCTTCTCGTTCGAGCGAACCCAGAGAAGTCTGGGGGTTGACAGGGGAGCGGGACAACGACCCTGGTGCCGTCTTCCTCCGGGGTGGCGCTGGCCGCAAGGTGAGAAGGCAGCACAGCCAACTTCTCTTCCTTTTGGAGCTCAAGCTCGAAAGACAATCGACGTCCCCCTTCCCTTGGGCGATTCAGCAGTGGGACCCTGCACTACGACTGTTCTGCAGTGTGGTTGATGAATCGTTCGCTTCCCCCATGAACATTCAAAATCATTCGGTCAAGGCGAACAAGGGATTGTTCAAAGTAACTTGGTGGAAGTGCATTAGAGCGTGCCCTTCGAACACCAGGGCCCAAGGTGCATCCAGGAACAGTTGCACAAATCGAGGTGCGAAAGGAGGTGCGATGAGTTGTATCAACGCCGAGCGGATATAATAGCTCGTCACCGTCACAGACCAAAATCCAGCAGTGTCAAGATGGGTGAAGTTTGCATCGCTCTTTTGTCCAAGGCTTTGGCCAGTACGATCAGGATAAGATTTTAGGCTTCAAAATCAAATCTTCAAATTCCCAGTGGATGGGCCCGATCGCTCTGCTAATAAGAGCCAGCACGATACGAAGTACATGCACTGAATTTCCTAGATGGGCTTGATGGGGTCATTGTACCAGATACAGAAACGTACAGTCTCACAAGCGAAACACAAAACCCAACCTTTATGGCCTGACGGCTCGAGCCACGATCTTCCTTGTGAATAGCCAACTACCATCGATCGGGATCTCGGTTTTGTCTCTTTTCCTTGTAACAAAGCAAAAAGACCATGGCCAAACACTCAGGCTCCTAAATCTACATGTTTAAAATGTGCTAGAAGCTCATTGGATTAATCCACACCCAAACCAGCGGTACCCGATTCGAACCCAGCTTTCTCCCACCAGGCCAATATTATGCGATTGTGCGATCAGTACATTGATGGATAGATAGGTGGTTCGAAGATGCTCTCTCCGGAGTGAAATTTGATGGCGCTTGCCTTTGATGTACTTGGAAACTCCACAGCGAATGACGAATAGCAGAAATCGGGCGGATGAGTGGCAGGACGAGAAGTATTCAACAAGCGATTCTGTAGTCTTGCCACAGGGAGGAATGCGCCGGCAACACTTGTGGCTAGTGTATCCCCAGGTACTTTGAGGTATCATCGATGGCTAAATTGTTCGAAGGGAAACGAAACGAAATTGGGTCCTCTGTTTAGTTCATTGGAGACGACCATTGCAGTGGGCCCCATCCAACCGATGAGAGGTAAGGCGCCAGGGTCCCTGAGTTGTGAGCCACGCTTGAATCGCAAGCTTCGACAACATCGACGAACGGAACGAAGGCCTTTTGCCCCCTTGCAAAGCTGGGGAACAAGTGAATCGCAAATGGGTTTATTTCCTTCTGCTTCTTCAGAAAGTCGCAGCGTCCTTCCAGATGGCTCTGACTCCCAGCGTCAGCCCAGGCACCTTGGGGTTGAGCATGACACGGGCCCGAGATGCTCCGTCCATGCTCAACGCAATGCTACGCTCGCCGAGGAACTGTCGTGGGAATGTCTTAGCCGGATCAAGCATCCGTCCACATTTAGCGGCAGTATGCCCGTCTTGGTGTCCTGTTGATGCAACACTCCTCCGTGCCGACAAATGATACCTGCGTCGATGTGCAGGTGAGATATTTCCCTAGCGTACCCCGGCAATTCGCCTCTGGTGCCTGCCCGATAATAATGGGCAAGAGAGCGAGCCAGATGTGAATTGGGGAGGTGCAAAGCGAAAAACAGAAACTGCTGAAACCTGAGCGTTGAGCGACATCCGTTTGAATAAACAATGGATCAATCGACGCCGCAAGAACATATGGAGTACCCCAATGTTCAATGGTGGTGGCATCCCTCGACTACACCAAGCCCAGTGGATTTCAGTGTTGCCAACCTCCTGGAAAGAATTCCGAACTGGAAGCAGAGGAGAGTTTTCGAGCCTCGTTCTCGTCTTTCTGACAATTTCGAGCAATGATCGGCAATGGCCCAGTTGATAGTCTAAAACCTTTTTCTTTTCCCCTCACCTTCTTTGTATCCTTTCCCTTCGGTCCCGAATTGCTACCCTTTGGTTCTGACAGTCCGGGAGCATTCAGAACGGAAGGATTTCCCAGGTTCTCGTCCAGGATTAGCATCAGTGCTTCGCTCCCGAGTGGATGGATAGTGGATTTCACGTCTCCAGAGCGCTGTCAACCAAGGATTTGACGTCGAGGACTTCCATGGTGCGTTACAGGCACCATATCACCAGCGTTCCTTGGAGTTGGGTTGAGAAGATACTTCAAGAACCTCAAGACCCTCGTCACATCAACAAACAAGACACGCCATCTCCAATCTTCAGTTTTTTTGCATTTCCATTGGTAAAATCTTGAATCCCAGCTGCGAGCAGTTCGCTTGCGGCTGGCGCTTTGACCGTCCGGGTAAAAACCAATCAATGTCTTTGGCCTTTCCCCAAAGCAGACCAAGTGAAAGATCCAGTGTGAAGCTCGGCGCCGCTCACGGACTCCCATCCCTCATGAGCGATAGACTATGCTGGACGTGGTCCCGCCACCCTACACTACATGAGTGTAAACGACTGTTGGCCCCCCTCCA